CCCCCCCCTTCTTTTACTGTCTTGTGCATTTCTGTGCTGCATAACAGAAACACAGAGTGCTGTTTAAGAAGACAACATCACAAGCTGCAGAAGTTAGTTCACTGTCACAGGTTCAACCCAAGAAGGTCTCATAAAGATTGTATTATCTGCACAGTTTTCATATATGATGCTTGCAAAGGTTGTTTCTGTTCTATTGGCTGTTTCATCAAACTTGTATACATGTTGTGTGTATAAAGAATGAGCCAAAACTTAAGTCTGGACAGAATGGCAAGTGACATCTTGTATACTGTCAGTTCTACTATTGAGTGCATCTTCTGATAAAGGCACTATTGATCATTTGGACCTTTTAAGTTTTGCTGTGCAGTATGCTCCACGTATACAGCTTATAACTCACCTCCATCAACTTCACTTTACTTTCACACAGTCCAATATGTACTCAGATCAATACAATAAATACTTTATCAAGAAGGCAGAGATTTCCTAAGAGTGGATGTTTGGCCTCTTCCGGTTGTTTGGTAAAATGATTCTGAAACTATAACCCAGAAAAAATGTGGCCCACACCTGCAATCGTGTTTGGGCCACATTTGACACTGCCTGACCTCATGGCACCATAAGGCAGCTACAAATGAGCCACAGGTCGACCAAATACCGAGTCACATCTGGAAGACTCAGCACCTGCTATAAACCACGTCAAGCAAAGCTCATGACATTTATGGAACACCTGGTCTGTAGAAAACAACTGTGTGTACTATGTTTGATCCACATGTGTCTGCTCTGTGGGAAGACTTGTTGCTACTTCCTTTCTTTCTGTGGTGCGTTGTGGTTTGTGTTAACCAAGAAAGTGGTCCTTTCCCCCCAACTCATTGTCGAATGTGAGTGAACACACTTGGGTTCTCTTTGTCAAGAGGTTCTGAAACAATATTGATTCTATCATGTCAATATGCACCAAAATTTAAAAGGAAAAACTCCAGCTCTTTGAGTCAATGGCGTGAAAAATTAGGGCAGTTTTAAAGTCGAAAGTGGGTTTAACCCAGTACCTAATGAGTGTACGTGTACTTGCAGTGTGCGTCTGCTGCTGCCGTAGTCATGAGGAATGTAGGAATGCAGAAGTCTGGAGTCACTACAGACTTCCTGAGAGTTTGGGTTGGTCTCAGGTGAACACAGAGGTTACACACGAACATTTGCTTTTAATTTACCTAAATCAGTGAGTAGAACTAATCCACAAAATGTTTCATGCTTCATGTTTTTTTAAATTTGAGTTAAAGTTGATGATTTTTTTTTAACCTTTCTGATTCCTAACTGTAGTGCAGCTTTCTGCCCTCATCATCTTTGTTCATTTTTATTTTACAATAGAAATCCTTTCTTTCTTTTTTTGTAGCATCTTCCAGTGTTGGCTTCCTTTAAGAGGATATTTCTTTTTATCTCTTTAATAAATGTTTTCATGATCGTCTGATATTGACAGCATGAATGACTGTAAACATACTGATGAGCTCAACTATTTACTACTTAATGTTTCAGTATATTGCTTCTTTTAATGGATTGGAAATGAACTAAGAGCTCTGTCTGTTTGCCTACTGTACAATTATAAAAGCGGGTCGTGCTTCCTGGCCTTTGTCAAGTGGCATCTGTCGGTGTTGTCGGAGTTTTGCAGTGGTGATAAGTCACCTATTTGTGTGCGGTTTTGAAGAATAGTTTCAACAGAGAATCCCTCATGAGGTAAATGCAAAAGCGCATGGACATGATTCTAATTTATACAGTGATATGGAAATATGTCATTTGTTCTGATCTGTACAGTGTTACTCTTTGTTTTAACTCACACATCTGTTATAGGGTTTGCCATAATTTACGCTTCTGCAAAAGAAAGTTTTGATAAAGTAATGATGTCATTCATGTGGTCAGTATGATTACTCTGACACATCAAAATACCTTTTGTAGATAAGAAGGGGGAAGTCAATACTGTGATTGCCTAAACATCTTTAATCAAATGGAATTAGAGGTGCTTTTCACTGTTTCTTTAAATTATTCCTGTGTTGAATCAAACACCGCAGGCACATTAAAGGCAGGAAAAACCTACATAAAAGCTAGCACCACTAGAATGGCTTGAGTGTGTCTCTATTAGTTCTAGAAGTTTTCAGCAATCTCTTGTGCTCTATAGATGAGAACAGAACAGATCACTAGCATGAGAATACAAGGCTTCAAATATCCAATGCTACTTTTATCATTTTGTCATGAAAATATCCAAGCTTGTGGAGTTGTTGTCTCACATGCAGCAAAATGCGCCTGACACATCATGCAGTACAGCTCATCTGTTTCTTGGTTATTTAAGTAACTTGGCAACGTTCAGTATTTACAGTGGTAACGGGATCAACACAACTTCCCCTTGGCTGCTTGTGACCTCACTTCCTCCTCTGTGCCACTTCCTTTTTATTCTCGACCTAAATAATATGAAGTTGACTCTTAAAACTGTCGGTTCATATCTGAAAAGTGTGAAAGGCAGAAGGCATGTGACTTGTGTGTGCTAACCACGACCTGGATTATGACTTTGTGAGCCCGTGTGACTATTTGAGCGCAGGAGGAAATCATTGATTATGCCGAGGTGCAATCATTACTAACTCAGAGTTCACCAAATGCAGATGATTCACATGTCCTCTGTCTCTGTATGTTATTTACCTTGACTGTCATGTGCTTTACCTCCATCCTACCTGTGTAGCTGTAAAAGAGGACGCATAGCTGGTTAACTCGCTCAGAAGCTTACGTGTGATTAGAAGTAGCATAATAACTGGAAGATATAGTTGGGGGGTTTCCCCCACAGAATTGTATCTGTTAATCTGTTATGGATACTTGCACTTCTGTACACTTCTCTTATTCTTTTATTATGATCATTATTATTATTATTATTATTATTATTATTATTATGAACAAATGGAAAAAAAACCAGTAATGCTCGCCGACAGGCTGGGCTGGGTCTGAGTCTACAATGATACAACTGCATACAATGGAGCTGAATGTGAAACGAACAGCACTATTAAACAGGGTGGAGGTTCACTGCTCTGCATTCACAACACCTTCAAAAGAGCTGGGCTGGGCTCTGCAGCAAACTGTGCTCCACCTGGAGATCAGTATAAGCTTCCAAAATACTGGACTACGTGCGCAACATGTGTAATTGTTAACAAAAGAAAGTTTATTTTTGTACACGGTTGCATATTTTAGACTAAAAGCATTTGCATTCACAATCTTCACAATATTGTGAAGCTTATTACAGGTAGAATCAAAGCGTCTGGATGAGCATCACATTTAATGACTGCACAAACAGGAAAAACAGTCCAGGGGAGCTGTGCTACTGTCTCGGCTCTACGTTTCGAGGTTGTGCTGATATATTACCTGTAGCTTTCTGGAGCCTGTGCGAGTAAACGCAAAGAGTGCGATTTAGATGACCCCGAGAGTTGGCTTTACAGAGTCCATCTCCAAATGTGACTGGGCTGATCGGGTCAGATTCCAATCCCAGTGCATTCTGCTTGCAGTAACACCTTTTTATTGATGTCCTTTATCCAGATAAAGGTCACATGTTTTTACTGGGGGAAACTGAGTAGTAGTGTAAGGCTTTAATTCTTGTACATTTTTGTAGTTTAAAAAAACAAAACAAAATGAAACATTATTTGCTTCTAAAGGCCTGTATATTTCTCTCAAATGTATTAAGAACAATGATCTTTATGACATTCCACCTTGCAGAAGGATTTCCAGTACTGTAAAAAAAAACATGCTAATAACTGATCAATATTTCAGATGACAGTTTTAAATGATAAACTACTGCCGTGCACCCACAGATAAACCATGGGTCCTGCAACTATAATTCCAGGAAAGTTTGCTTTGAATTAGTACACATGATAAAAAGTAATAATATCCCATGCGTTGTAACACAGCTTCTATAGATTGTTTTATTACAGCTCAGCAATGGGAAATTTAAGACAAAGATCAAAGCATCAGTGATACAGTGTGACTAATTGTTTCTATGTGAAGAAGTGCAGTGCAGAGCAAATATGACTTCCATCCAGTATGCATGCGTGTGAATACTGGCTGCATGTCTCTAGCCACGGGAGTCAAAGGCCGATTTCTCCATGGTTCCTTAAGCAGAAAAATGTCAGCTATGTTAGCGTTCAGCCTGCACTGGATGCCACTGGCTGGAGATGAACTTGTGAATCCTACATTCTTGTTGTCAGTTTCTAAGGTGACCACAGACGACAGTCTCGTTGACGCACTGCTGTCAAACAGTCCCACCCCACAGTCAGGAATGTAGGACTTGAATAAAACACTTCTGACTGCTGTGTGATGGGTGTGTTTGTGAGCAGTTTACAGTCCTGCATGTTTTCCCCTTTCTTTCTCCCCATGTTTGTTTTCAACTTGAAAAGGAGACTGTATTGACCTGAACCTGTAACGATTACGATTTCAGCTTTATCCAGAAATAAGTCTTCTGGAATGTTTTGTTTTCCAAAAATATTGCTGTTGTGAAATCAACATGTTGCTGGGTGGTTTCTTGTGTTCCCTGCACATATTTGACTTCTGTCTCTTTCTCTCTGCAGTCGCAGTCCAGCCAGACAACACCCAAACCGGCAGCTCAGGTCTCTACTGGAAAGCCTGCACAGTTTGAGGTATTAGACATTCCCCTGTAATGCTGTTTAACTTCTTCTCCTCCTCCCTCAGTCTGTCAAAAGAAACTCATTTGTTGACTGCCAATTTGACCCCTGACCCCCCAGCATTCTGTTGTTCTAGCATTGTTACTTTCTTTCCTGTTCCAGCACAGCTCTTTGGTTAATAGAAAAAGAACATTTTCCTTTTCCTTCCTTCAAACTCAAGGCAGGTAACACCCTGTTTAACCCATTAATGCTGCTCGCAAACCAAGGTTGACAAACTTTGCTGCTTGAATGCTGACTGGAATATTCTCCAGGAAAGACTAATGGAAATGTTAAAAGACTTCATCAGTATTTCAATCAGGAACTCGTAAATTAAGTGGAATGTAACTATATTAGCATGTATATGAACTCTATTGATATACTCAGCCGGAAAAGGGTGGAGTGCTCACTCCGGGTCGGGGATGAGTTCCTGCCCCAAGTGGAGGAGTTCAAGTATCTCGGGGTCTTGTTCTGCGAGTGATGGGAGAAGGGAGCCTCCTGGGTGCCTCCTGGGTGAGGTGTTCTGGGCATGTCCCACCGGGAGGAGGCCTTGGGGCAGACCCAGGACACGCTGGAGAGATTATATCTCTCGGCTGGCCTGGGAACGCCTTGGTGTTCCCCCGGATAAGCTGGAGGAGGTGGCTGGGGAGAGGGAGGTCTGGGCCTCTCTGCTTAGGCTGCTGCCCCCGCGACCCGGCCTCGGATAAAGCGGATGAAGATGGATGGATGAACTCTATTGGTAGAAAAAATGTTGCAAAGATCAGCATTTTGTAGGTAAACGGTTTCCAGCTTTGCATGATTGCACAGCACATATATTTAATGACTTAAAAAGAAGAATTGGGATGAGGTGGATGCTTTGGAGAGACCATTTGAGAAGCTTAATGTTAACTTGTCTTATTCATTCCAAAATCCAACAATTGTGTCAATCTTCTAGCTGTTGACTTAAGGTTAAGTTGAATTCTTTATTATTACTTAATACAATGTACCAGTACCACTGGCACCATAACAGCTCTGGAGTGTGTTGCTTCAGGACCATGCTCAACAGCAGATATGGTATTTTAGGAAAGCGGTTACCCCTCCAAACACACCTCTTATGGCCAAATAGTTCATCTTTGTCTCATAGAGTCTCATTTGTCCCATAAAACTTTTCTCCAGAAGGCATTTAGCTTGTCCATGACAACTACAAAAATTTCACATCACCGTGGACAATAACACTGGTGTCACAGCAGTTTCCAGTTGATGGCAGGCTTGAGCCTGTTGGTTCACAGGTCGTTCCTTAACATCCTGCTCCATTCCCTTTCATCTGGAGGTGACAGTTTGGGTCTTCTTCCACAACATGACAAAGTAGTGACATATCCGATCAAACTTATGTACAGTTGTTTGAACTGATGATCTTGGAAACTGCATTTTTTCAGTTTGTGTAAATCTACAATCCTCCTCCTTAGACCTTCACTATGTTCCTTGGACTTTCCCATTTTTCTGGGTATTGGTGCATCGAGTGAGTGCTGTCAAACTACCAGTTATTCTCAATCATGATCAATAACAAGAAGTCAAAAGGCATTGACCTTGTAAAGTTAAGATTTTGTAGAACATCCTGCACCAATTAAAAGGCAAATTAATCTATATATTTAAGCCACTATGTGTACTTTCAGTTCTGTGGATTAGAGAAAATCCAAAATAAATTAAAATGTGTTCACCCAATACTTGTTTTAAGTTTTTAAAGATGTATGCTGTGCAATCATTGCACCCTTGAAGAAGAAAAGTAAAAAAAAAAAACATTTAAAAACCTGAAATGACCACAATATTTATGCTTATGATGAGTGTACGTAAACTTATGACCATAACTGTATTTTATATAAAGTGTACTTCATTAAACACTTTTAATGACTACTTTTTTTAAAGTAATAATACACTCCATTGCCTGTCATTTATCTATTTTACTTACATACAAATAATGTTTGAACAGAGCAGTGCCAGCCTGAATTGTTTTCACACATCTTTCAGCAGCGGGGCTTAGACGGTGTATAGTTTGGTTCCTGGCTTGTAGAGATAAGGTTTAGTTGGATATTTAGAAGTGAGAGAAATACATGGTTTTATTTTAGACCTATTCACACACTGAGCTTATATTACTCAGTCATTAACCTTCACTGCAAGTATGTCATTGCCCTGCTTCCTTCTTTTTGCTTTGCCACAGTAAAGTACAACTGCTTATGTTTCAGTGTCCATGTGCAATGGGAAAGATAATGTACTGTGCTATAAAAAATATGTCCCTGCAGAATGTATGGTAATTACTATTAGCCGGTTTCTTGTCACATAAAAACACAACTATAATGTTCACCTATTAACCTTACAAATATGGAATCTTACTTGTGTGTTGCTTTTTCTGCAAGTTTAATGACTTTCAGAAAAAGCAGGTTATAATGGAAGCAAAAAAAGGCTGAAAGATTTACTACATCTCAATTTGGATACTTTTGTTACCACAATTCCCTGTAGTACACGTAATGGCATAGCAGTGTTGCAAGTTGTGCAATTACCCGAAATGACAATCACATTTGACCGGGATTGTCATGCTAGCCATGGCATTTTGTGAACATTTTAAACTTAAGTGCCTGATTGCACATAATAATACATTCTTCTACAGTGAGTATGACAGTTTAACACATATAAATGCCAAACAATACAACAGCACGTGAAACGATAATGCTGCTAGCCAGCTAGCTAGCAGTCGCATCAGTATTTCTGCTGAGGATGTGTCCTTTTGGCTTAAATCAGTTGGTGATGCCTTCCTTTAAGCAATAGACGGTATAAAACATGGAACCACAGTCACATTACCAACTGATGTGCGGAGCTACGTTATGAAACTGAGTATTGTTGCAATCACCAACATATCTAATTGCTCCCCACCCTCAAGCGTAACCAAGAAGATGTCATTTTAAGATATCAGGCTAAGATATATTACAGTAGGTTTCACAGTCTCTGTGGCTCTCTTGACGAAAAGTTAACTAGCTTTCATGTGCAAAGCCAAGCACACAGGCAATTCTAGCATCCATAGACCTGTAAAAAAATTGCAGTTGATCAACTTCTCCTCACCTGGTGCATTGCAGACGCCAACATCGGGATCTGGAATGGCTACCAAGCCTGAGGCGGTTACCACGACAACAGGAGGAAGCTCTAATGTTGCAACAGCAGGGAAAGCGGCACCTAAAGCCAAACCAGAGGTAGATAAACTCTAGCGGGTATGAATAAAAGTGGTGGAGGCTTTGAGCGCTTTGGCGTGACATAACATGAATCTCTGCTTCTTTCTTTTGGCCTCAGCACCTCATGTGTGCTCATCACTAGTCATCTCTTTACGCGCTTCATATTTGGTCATCACCGTTTCGCAACATCTTACCTGTCTGTCTGCGACATCTTTCTGGCACGGCCGTTCACTCATCTTGCATCAGAAGCTGGACTGTCACCATGCCACCATAAAAGATCTGATATGACCTGCATGGGATGAATGCTCCTCACAAACTGTGACACTAACTTCATGAATAACTGTCTCTTTTCACTTTCTTTAAACACATGCTTCTCGATTGTAGACTAACACTACGCTGGCCGGTGCTACTGTTATTGACATGTCGTTTGCAGAGGCGAGTGGCGCTACTAGACAGGTGTTAAAGGTAATGCCATCATGGCCAAAACTCTAGCTAGCGCTTTTTCTTTGCTTTAATCCAACAATCTTTTAAATGATAATGTTTATTTGTATTATTTTATTAGAAATTTTGTGAACTGTGTGTGAGGTATTTGAATATTTCATGAATGCAAATAAATCCCCAAAGTTCAAGGTGATTAAGGCATGAAAAAGCACCAGCATCTGAACCCTTACTGATCACCGGTCATCAGTCTCAGCCCTCGTATTATTTTGAAATCTTTTGGGTAACTGTGACCGAGCTGACCAGTGATCAGTGTCAATTTTCTTCTGCTTCGTTTTCACTAACACGGTGTCAGTACATCTACTGGCTTCCTTGTGTTTTTGAGTAATCATTTGGCGACATGTTTGTAGACTGCACCTGTCTCCCAAGCCAAAGTCGCACCTACAATCCCTCCCACTGCTGGCACTGCAGCAGCCACTTCTGTGGCCGCTCCTAAAGAGTCACCTAAGGACACGGCTAAGGTATAAGCCTGACTACTAATGCCCATCTGAGTCTTCACTGCCTCCATGACTCTTGGGGTGTATCTTTCAAGGCCTACTTGCCTTTCGCTCTTCTTTTTTCTTCCTTGCAGTCTTATCAGGTTTTTTGGGGTTGTGCTTACTTGAGACTGTCCAGATACCTTATTAGCTTTAGGGGTTTCTTGGAATTTCTTTTTGGATTTTTTTTTTTTTTTTTTTTTTTTGGAAGAACAAGGACTTTCATTCTTTACACTGCAGCTCTTTGCTCAGCATGCCTCTGCTTGTTGTTGCATTTCGTCATAGTCGACGCCCGTCCATTTGCAACATCGCATGCATCATCACTCCGAGTCAGTGAGAAAAAACAAATGAAGAGGAGAGGCATACAGTTTTCTCATCTATTCTGACCCCAGTTTCATTGCACAACACTTCTAGATGAAAGAAGTTGGTGGAGGCTTTCTTTTCCTCACGTGACTTCCTGTCTTTCATTTGTTTCTTTGGGTGTTTTGCATGTATGTAGCAGATCTGCAGTTTTACTTGACATGAACTTGGCCTGTAATAGAATCAAATCTTGTTGTATTTTAGAGTGCCACTGCTGCCACAGTAGTCAAAGCTGATGTTCCTAAAGTTGATCCTGCTAAAACATCAAAGCCAGCTGCAGCAGGCACAGCTGCGGCTGGAAATGTGTCTGTGCAAGGCAAAAAGGAAGAAGCTAAATCAGCGCAAACAAAGGTAGATGTTCCTGAAGCCAAACATGGCGGAGGCTGTGTGTCAACTCTGCCCTCCGTATACTCTGCACAGTGATGATTTTGCATTCAATTCGTATTCATCCTCTTGGTCTTTGTGTTTAATGAATGAATGAGGATGTTCTGATGAGGTGTTTTCATGGCTAGCAGGAATTTTTCACACCCATCAAACATTTTTTTTCTGGAAATTCTAAAGTAAAGTCATTTCATTGAAGCAATTAACTAAGAAAGAGTTGGAATTTCTTTTTTTATGGGTGATAATTTCATGATGCCTTACTCCTAATACCACAACGGATATATTGTGTTGTTAAGGTCTGTGGCCTGATTCTGGATCTGTGTTGCAGGTTCAGGCGGAAGTTACATCCACAGCAGCTAAAGGAGCCCAACAGGTAAAGACGTAATGTAGCAGTGCTAGTTTCCTTTGAAAAGCATGTCGCTTGCTCTCGTGTGCTGAGCTGTGTTGCATGCGCAGGCACCTCCGGTGGATGCAATCGACGAGCTGGCCAACATACTACCATCAACTGATTCGTTCGCTCGCCCAGAGCCTGTGTTCACGGGGCCAGAGGTCAAAGAGGTATAGCATAGCCACAGTGTGCAAGCATACATGTTGGAGTGTGTGTGTATGCTTTAGAAAGTGAGCAGCAAGCTGCATGGGCCTTTAGTGTGTAACCGTGTAATGCATGTGTCACAGCATGACATCACCTCTGAGAAAGGTCAGAAGTGTGGAGAAAGGGACGACACACTGCCTCCAAACTACAGATTCAAAAATACGGTCAGTGTGCACCACTTTCCACTGCTTTCTAAACTTTCTACCCAACCTCACCTTGTTTTTGCTTTTGTGTGCTTCACTGACAAATTCGTAGGGGCTACTTAATGTTGGTAGGAAACTGTCACTTTTAGCTTATGTTCTTTAGACAAAGTTGCTTTACAGGCATGACTTTGACACCAAATTAAAGCTTTAGGACTGATAACCTGTTAGTATGAAGCAAGAGTGGCTGACTCCTGCATCTGGAAGGATATTTGATCCAGATTAGTCTGATATTTTCATGTGAAAATCAAGAGGAGCCTTTTCCTATTCCTGACCTACGGCAGGAAATGTCCAATTTGACCTTGCAATATAAAATCTTGCCAAAATCTCAAATCCAGATTACATCCAAAACGTAATTGCTTTAAAGAAAAACCAAGCTCCATTTCTTTTTTTGGTAACATTTTCATGCAAATCCATCAGCAATGTATTAAAAAATGATCCTGCTAAACAAAAAGAAGCAGACAAACCAAACCAATCAACAATTACTACTGGCATGTTTATTACATAGAATTAGAATTAGAAGGCCTTTTCAGATCTTAAATGTTCAGATCTTAAATTTTATTTTTCTTACCAAGTGTAAAACTACTTTCTACTTTAAGGAGCTTGCAAAGAAAAGCGTCTGGACTTCTTTAAGTTACTTGAAGACGTTTCACCTCTCATCCAAGAAGCTTCTTCAGTTCTAAGGTTCTAAGGAAGCTTCTTGGATGAGAGGTGAAATGTCTTCAAGTAACTTAAAGAAGTCCAGACGCTTTTCTTTGCAAGCTCCTTTGACTACGATGACCTGGATGACTGAGAACCTTCACAGACATACTTTCTACTTTCTAGGGTCGAGCTCCTGCAGATGCTAAACCTGTGGATGTCCCTGTAAGTAAAGCTTTTCAAACTCCTGCTATCAGTTCTTTGTAGTCCAGATAACTCACACACGCAGGAAGTGCTGTTTCCACTGTATAATCTACTCGTTCCTGGGTGGAGAATGTGTTGGGTGTTGTCCTAAGAAACCACCTTCTCCGTTTGAGCTTGTTGGCTCCTGTCCGACCAAACCCAAACACTCACAAATATACGTGCCCTGTCACATGCACACTTACATTGTGCACAGTGATACACCAGTTAAACCGAGGAATGTGTTCATAGTTACTCACAGTCACTAACACACCCACATTTGCATCATAGCCGACTCCCACTTTGGCCTCCTGGCATGGAACAAGCTTTTTTGGTTCAGTGTCTCACCAAGTCTTTCTGTTCTTTCTTCCTGCGTGAATTTAATGGTTTCAATTTTGTGTTGGTCATATTTTTGTGGAGTCAACACGATTTGTATCACCTGCGTCTCTTTAGAGAGAGAATTTGTGAGTTTTTGGCGTCTGTGGAATGTAAAGGGTGTGTCTGTACTTTTCCTTCACTGTTGGTACAAGTCTGGTTTGCATTATTTTGCCTTTTGATTTGGTCACTCATGCCCTCTAGTGGAACTTTGGAGCAATTCTTTCTGACTGAGTTATTTTAGGTTGGTGTAACGCACAGTATTTTTCATTTCAGAAACCACTGAGCACAGACGCGGCCCTTGATTCCCTTTCAGCTGATTTTAAATCAACTGGTCAGCCTGGACCCAAGAAACAAGAGGTCAGTCTTTAAGCATGAAGCACTTAGCTGCTACTTCCATTTGATGTATGTGCTGCACACTCCTAGTATGGCACCTGTGCTGTAGACTGTATTGGCTCCAGTAATATCATTTTTGTCTTAAAGGTCTAAAAAGTCTCATTGTGTTTTGTTTTTTTGTTTTTTCCATCAATAAAATAAATAGCAAAAGGTACATGTTGAGACTATAAGTGCCTCTTCTGCTGGCCCTGCGAACTTTGCACCTCCTCCTGTGAAGGTAAATTGACATTTTTAAGTCCCTGATGTGTCATTACAGCAGAGTCTGGCTGCAGAGGCTGATGCCTTTTTGTCCCTGCTGTCCCTTTCGTTGCAGAAAGCGGAAACTCCTGCAGCAGTTCCTCCTATGGCGGCTCCTCCAGCTGATAAAAAAGCTAAGATGGAGAAAGTCTCAGATGACTTCTCACTGGAGGCTGGACTCTCTTCTTCCAGCACGGTACTTTTACTGTAATGGTTACTTACAGATCTTAGCTCTGTCTTAAAATGTTTTAATAAGTAAATTTCTTATGGCTGTTAAAGTTAAAGCCAAAATTTTTCTACACTGAAAATAAACCTGTTTAAAGTTGCATTGTCATTCTGCATGGATCAGTAAAAACTAAAACATTTGTCTGTTTGCTCTTGTAGAAAGCAGTATCTCCTGCGGCTGCTCCTGCTGATAAGAAAGCCAAGATGGATAAAACCACTCCTGTCAAGGCTGGACTGGATACCAAAGCAGGCACCAAGCCCAAGACCAGTGAGGTGAGATGCAGGAGATGAGGTTAAACAACACGGGTGTCATTAGCTTGTCATAAACGCCATGTTCTCTCTTCAGGGTGACTCCATGTCTCTGGATGCTCTCGGTGCTCTGTGTGACACACTACCAAAAGATGCACCAAAACCTGAACCCCCCAAAGTCAGACCTCAGGACATTGTATCGGTAAGAGGCACAAACAGCTGCACTGTCTTAAGCAGCAACTCTGCGGTCACTTTAGTTCAGTTACACATAAGATTCATTGCTAGACGATGTCTCACTTTGTCCCCTTTACTTTGTACAGGAGGGAAAAGTGAAGAGCGAGAAGGGTGTACGTGTAGGAGAGAGGGAGGACACGCTTCCTCCAGATTACAGGTTCAAAGAGGAAGACCTCAAAAAACTGCCTCCTCCAAAACCCGAGGTGAGCCCAGAGTGAATCCATTTAACGATGAGCTCCACTGATGATAGATTTTTGAGGCCAGTGTTGATACTGATATTTAAAAAGTTTTCGATTTTATAGGTTTGTTTTCTTTGTATGCACATAACATCACATTTTATGAGGGTAATATCAGGAATCTTGAAGAATGTCAAATATCTTCTCTTTCTTTACGTCATATCTGCCCGACCCGACCCTTGCAGCCCAAGATGGACGCTGATGATGCTCTGGACATTTTGTCTGGGGACTTCAGTACTGCTTCAACAGCTCCTGCTGTCCAGGCTCCTGTCTGCTCCTCAGCTGCTCCTGTGCAGGTAAGCTCTGTCTTGATCAGTGACACCACTGTATAAAATCTAATATCCAGTTTTAATGGTGTTTTGTGATTGCTGCAGAAATCTCCCGCTCCTCCCACTGATAAGAAAGCCAAGGTGGAGGCTGGACTCTCAGCAACTACTGCTAAGGTACAGCAGAACTTCTTACAATCATTTTTTTTTTAAAGAGATCTGTAAAATAACAGTGTACATCATGGCATAAGTTATATACTGAGTGAAATAGCAAGATTTATTTTGAGTTGGGCTTTTTCTTTACTGCCATCTGTGTCGTGTGGTGTAGAAAGTGGAATCAGCTGCAGCTCCTCCTGCGGCTGGGCCCGGTGCTCCTTCTGCTGAGAAGAAAGCACAACAACACAAACCTGCCGCTGGGAAGGACACCAAACCAGAGACCAACAAGGTTTGACATAGGATGTTTGGAGTCATTTTTCTTCTTTTTTGCACTTCTTCCTGTTCTTGTTTCACTTCATATTCTTTAGACAGACATTTTATTTTTAATAGTTTGATAAATCCTGTTCTGTCTTCAGGGTGGCTCCATGTCTCTGGATGCTCTCAGTGCTCTGGGCGACACATTACCAGCAGATGCACCAAAACCTGAATCCCCCGAACTCAAACCTAAAGATATCGTCTCTGTAAGAGTGAAGCTACACCCTAGCATTAAATTCACAGCTTTTGATAACTTTTTTTTTTTCTTCCACCAGGTAATTTTGTTCTCTTTCTCTATGTACAGGAGGGCAAAGTGAAGGCGGAGGAGGGTGTACGTGTAGGAGAGCGAGACGACACTCTTCCACCAGATTACAGGTTTAAAGATAAAGACCCCAAAAAACTGCCACCTCCAAAACCCGAGGTGAGACTGAAGGAAATTTACTTTATGGGTTAAACCTCAGCACATTAAGCTTATGAAACTCGTAGATCTACAACTGTTGAACATTTAGTAACTTGATTTAAGCTTTACTTTGTCTCCTCCCGCAGCCCAAGATGGACACTGATGATGCTGTGGACATTTTGTCTGGAGACTTCAGTTTATCATCAGCTCCTCCTCTTGTCGTCTGCTTGCCACCTGCTCCTGTCGTCTGCTTGCCACCTCCTCCTCCTGTCGTCTGCTCCATAGATCTTCCTCCTGTCGTCTTATTCGAAGCTCCTCCTCCTGTCGTCTGCTACGCCTCTCCTAAACTGGTACACTGTGAATCAGTTATTTGTTCCTGCACATAAACATTGCACGTATCTCTAAAAATGAAAAGCCTCCATCTTTTTTTTTTTTGGAGTCCCTACAAAATTCCACAAAATATAAAACTGCATTGTTTCAGTGCTTTGTTTCAAACTCTTATCTCTGCTTTTCAGTTCAAAGAAGTGTCACCTGTACTTTCTGAAGAGTTTGTGGCTTCATCTGAGGCTTCTGGAGTTCATGCACCAGTCCCTCCTCCATCACAGAAGCCACCAGAGGTAAACCTGTTGGTGTGAATGCAGGTTTTTGCAGAAACTATTTTTTTTCCCTTCCATAGAGGATTTCCCTGCCAAGCAAATAAATAATTATTATTTTGTTTTTATTTTTGCCACCATGGCTGTCATTGTGCCCTTTTACATTCATGTCTTTGTTTTCACTCCTTTTTTCCATCTCTGCGTTTCTGCAGAAAACAGTCTGTCCCGTGGAACAACCTAACAAAGTCGATGTAAGCACACAACAGACAAAGCCCAAAATTGAGAAGGTAACTGTGAGGAATCAAAAGCCTTCTGATTTCTTTTGGCTTTAGTTTTTCATTTATCATTCAGAGCTGTATAACATGCCTTGTCTAAAACTGGCCTATGAAGTTCCTCTTCTCTCACCCCTCAGGGTGACTCCATCTCTCTGGATGCTCTCAGTGCTCTCAGCGAAACACTGCCAACAGAAGCACCAAAGCCAGAGTCTCCAGAACTCAGACCTGAGGATATTGTCCCCGTATGTGGTGCCCAAAAACATATAGTGTTGTTTTGTTATGAGTGACATATTTATATTTTATTCCAGTAATAGTATACCAGTACAACTGAATTATCCATGCACATATTTGGGGTTTTTTAAACACTTGTCCTGTTTAGAACCCTTTTAAAAAATCTGTATTTAGGAGAAACAGAGTGTCTGGACCAGCCAGTCATTCACCTTTTTCCCCTTTTCCAGGAGGGCAAAGTCAAAAAGGAGAAGGGTGTGCGTGTAGGAGAGAGGGAGGATACACTTCCTCCAGATTACAGATTTAAAGAGGAAGATCTCAAAAAACTGCCTGCTCCCAAACCTGAGGTGAGCCCAGGGCAAATCTATTTCTAAGCAACAAAAGTTAGATATTTATTAATGGATAAAAAGCCATAAAGAATATGTACATTTAGTAATTAAAATAACGGCTTATTTTCTCTCTTTATCTTCTCCTGCAGCCCAAGATAAATACTGATGATGCTCTGGATATTTTGTCTGGAGACTTCAGCTCTTCAGCCGCTCCTGCTGTCCAGGCTCCTGTCGTCTGCTCGTCAGCTCCTCCTGCACAGGTACCAATCACGGAAAGCAATAGTATTAATTTCAAGTTGAGTATTATCGATTTTAAGCATAGGATTGTATTCGGTCTCCCCCTCAGGCCTCTGCAGACGCTGCTCTTAAGTCCTTGGCCGGAGACTTGGTTGCCTCCAGCGCTGCACCGGCAGTGAAGTCAGAACCTCGTATTCCTACACAAACAAAGCCACAGGTAAAGGCTCAAGTGTTTCTCATCTACTTATACTCTTTATACAACTATCTGCAGCTACATCAAAATCATATTTTTTTCTGGGGTTGTTGCACATTCAGCTGGAAGCTGGAGCAGACAATGCCCTTGATGCTCTGTCAGACACCTTGGGGGACATCAAACCTGTCCCTCAGCCCGCCCCAGGTCCTGTTAAAGATCCCGTCAAGGTAGCCAGCATGGTTTAAAATAATAATAGAAATAATTTAAAATAATAATAAAAAATCTGCATACCACTTCAGCTGTTTTGATTTGCCTTGTTGTTGCAGGAGAAAACGATTGCTGAGGAGAAGCTTATTAAAATGGGAGAGAGAGATGACGCACTACCACCAGAGTATCGACCCACTGAGGAAGACCGTAAGGTAACCTGACAGCCTTTGAAATGAGATCCTAAAAGTGAAGTACATTTACTTAGCAGTCCATCAATTACTCTACCAATCCATGCATTTACTCAGTACAACTCCTACTTTAAAGATGTGAACATATAGATGTTGTTCTTCCACTTGATAGTCTGCTGCAAGCTGGGTTGGGTAATGAGAATTACATTAAATATTGTGAACTAATAACAATACAAAACATGATCAGGGACACTATTCATTCATTTAACTGTATTTTTCAGTCGGTATGTAATATTGTGAAAACAGAAGTCTTTTACATTATATAATCTTGTTATTTACTAATAAGTAAATCTTCTGACTAGTCCATCCATACACTACTGAAGACTGCAACATGTGACAGGGACATTTATAAAGTGTAGTATAGCATTTGTTGCTTTATTGAGAGTCTAAACTTCATGAATTTCATTTTAAAGAAAATGGAAGAAGCAAAGAAAAAAGCTGCCACCATCCCCAAGGAGGTCAGTTCCTCACACAATATTTCTAAAATAAAATAAACATTAATGACATATGTGAAAGATGACAATAAAGCATTCCCTTTTTAACACTCTGTAGAAGAGTATGGATGAAACAACAGCCTTAGAAATGCTGTCCAGTGACTTCTCTGATGCTCCCAAGCCTGGTGCACCGGTCACCTCGTGTGCTGCCACAACAAAGTTGGAACCTCCTGCGCTGGACTCAGCTCCTCTGAAGGTAGTGGAGAAATAAAACCTACCATTTCTACTCCTTCCGGCTAATATTAGCTAAACTCCATCAAGGTGTGAGACGTGTCTGTCTTACCTTAACTGAGCGTTGTGAGGTTTGACTCATAGTTAGTGCCGACCATAATCCTAATCTTTGCTTTCACAATAGATTACTTGCTCATCCTAAAAAAGGAACAATGAGCTCATACCAGGGAGAGCCACCTAATAGGCTGTGATTGCGACTATCACTGATGATTACTTACAGTGTTAAAAATGGTCCTTACTTAGTTGTTTTATACCATCTTTGTACCTGAAACCACTTCTAGAAAATGCTTTCGTATGATCTTCTTGAGTTTATTAACTGTTATTTATTTATTCTTGCTTTTCTAGCCGATGGCTGGTCCTGTTCTGGAGTCCCTGTCTGATACCCTGCTTCCAGATCCAGTAAAAGGCAAATCTAAAACAGACAAACCAAAGGTAAAAATCTATATGACTATTTAGAAGTGTTTAAATATTACACTTTACTATAAGAAATAGGGCCAAATGTACATCTTTTTCTTGGAAGCTTCTAAGAAAAACGCTTCTGACTAAACTGCACTTCAGAAGAATGATTGCAGAACATTTATTGCTCATCGGTACATGGCGCCCCCTATAGGTTTCCTTACTAGCTGTTACTGTGTCTGTGCTCACTACGTCATGGAGCAGTGTGAGTTGTAGAGCCTAATCAAGGTGTCGACTTTGTTACAGGGAAAAAGCAAGTCAAAGCCAAAATCTAAAGTAAGCAAATCGTCTGCTGCATGAAGACCTAATTTAGGCTGAATAAGCAACGTATCTGACACACTGGATCTGTGCACTTATAACTGAGCCAAAGAAGCAGTTATTGAATTCTAATTTCTGCAGGGGCCTCCACATAGTGGCATGTGACATGCTCCTCACGCTGCTTTGCCTGATGTTGATTTCAGCCTGTAATACTGCAAAGGCATGAATTCTTCTTTATCATTTTTAATACTTATTTGTTAAAAACATCAGAAACAACAAGCAGAGGAACCATCTGCCCCTGACCAGCTATCAGCTCAGAGAAGCTCAGACGTTGTGCCAACTTCTACAAAGAAGGGAGCCAAGAGCTAGGTCACATGGTAAGATTTGTCATATTTAAGTGATTAAAAAAAAACCCTGAATATTAGGAGGATAGATATCAAGTCTTTAAACTGACTGCTAAATATCACTTGTTACAGGTTGTCGCTTTAAATCTGTCCTCCAGGCCACGTGGACGCATCGGTGAGGGAGCTGCTCTCTGGATAACGATTCTATTTTTGTAAATTGTTAAGAATGTATATTGGAGTCAAGAAAAAACCTACACATACCCATAACATTTACGCAATGCACACACATAGAAGCACAAACGGACATGCACGCACACTTAAACAGCTATCTGCTTTACAGTTCAAAGATAAGAAATTTTGTTTTGGGTTTTTTTGGGTTTTTTTTAGAGAATATAAAAGAGACTTTTAAAAACTGGATGGAAATGAAAGAAGTGAAACTGTGGGAAAACTTTTTGGGTGCCAAGAATCACGCATGTACATCACAGTTGACAAGTGGGGTTTTGTTTGTTTAGTTTTTTCCTTTTTCCTCCAGCAAAACACTTCTATTTCAACACCGGTGACCTAAACCTCCTGGTGTTGTGACATTAGTCGGAGCAGTGGAGACTGTCAACTTGTGTGAGAGCAGTATGGAGTAGGTGTATAGCACCAGGAAGTTTTGTGCAATCCAGATGTGCACACACACAAAAAGTTTTTCTATCGTGATTGGACACCATTACATAAGACACTAGTGTACAGCTTAGTTCGCTTATATTTTAAACAATACATAGTTTACATTATTGAATATGTGGATTTCCCAGGAGGTGTTCTAATTAATTCTGTATTGGAGAGCTTTTTGCAAATGCCTCTCTTTAAACAGAGCAATATCTGTCAAGTAGAAGGTCTTTTTCTGTGTATTTGGGTTTGCAGAAAGGGGGGAAAAAAGACGTTCAAAAGTGCACTTATTGAAGCAGGATGTTTACAAGCTTTGTAAACTGCCGTTGTTTGTGAGCTGTAAAAGAGTTTTGCTCTACGTAACACAACACTGTAATTTACAAAGGGCTATTGCTTTCAATTGTAAAGTTAGTCACTATAATTCCACCCTTTTTTTTGTAGAGTTAAGCCAAGATATGAGATGTATAAGGGGAAATGCTAACTAAATTGAAAAAAATAAATACATAAATAAATCATGCAGTATCGTTTTATTATTATTGTACCTTAAAAGAGAAACAAAAGATAACATTAACTGACTTAATATGCTGGAGAAAATAACTAGATATTGTAGGAAAGGTGAACAAACAATGTGTTTGTAAAGGTGCAAGGGGAAATGTGTATGTATTAAAGTGCGTGGGAGTGTAATCTCCTATGAAAGAATTTTTTTATCCGCTTGACTTGTGGTTTTGCGCTCTGCTTACAGTTGTAGCACCCCACTTCCTTTAGACTCAAGGGGGGGGGGGCTTAGAAAACAAATGTCTTTTGCTCAAATCTACTTTTATGCCAAGACCCTGAATGACTGATGGGAATCCAAATGAGTGGGTTTGATGTGTGGAAAAATAAAATCTAATAAAGACAAATACAGTTCATTGAAGAAGGAATGCTTGTCTGAGTGGTTTTATTTTTTTATTTTAGTTTGTACAGCGTTTTATGTTGAAAATAGAAACAAGAATTTTTTTTTTTTTTTTTTGAGGATGTACAACGATTAAAAGCAAAAACAAAAGAACATGCCATATTTGTTCTTTTCAGTATTACTCTACAGCCTTAGAAACATGTGAATGAATAAAATCAAATACTTTTCAAGTGTAATTTTAAACAAGCCATAAAAAAAATCTGCTTTAAATTGTTTTGATGACTAAATGCGAGTGCAGCAATTCAAATAGTGTGTGCAGAATGCAAAACAAAAGCACACTGTTATTGCTTTTAAAACTTCCCAAAAAATTCAATACAAAATATTTAAAAGAATAAATTCAAAAGAATTATATACAATTGTTGCTCACAGTTCAGAAACAAAATGAATTCTTCTCAGGATCATTTTCAGCCGTACCCGTAACCATAAGAATTGATGTGGATTTGCAAAATAAACTCTTTAAACCACACAATTATCATTAAAAGGGTTCAATCTACCTGTGACAAAACGGTGTTAGCCATCAAGCCACATGAAAATTATAACTCAATGCTGGCAATAAAAGGCTTTCCATTTATGCGCTGAATACACAACCACTTTAAAACCATCTCATATTTTCACAAACAAAGAAAATGTTTTAGGCTGACTTTAGCAAACAGGATGAGAAGATGCAGCAATAGCGTTAAAGAAAAAAAGAAGTGTCACATTTCACCATTTAGATTAAACATATCTGCCGGGCATCACTTCTTTTGCAGGAGGCGCCGTTCGAGGTCTAAATTTTAAAAGAAAAAAAGAGATGTAAATTTAGATGATTAATACAAATAATAATTAGTAACCTTTGTCTTTTTTAATGTAAAAAGGGACTGTTTTCTTCAAATAGACTGCAAGTGTAATTGGAAATAGGGAGAAAAAACACATTCAACAACAATCATAATATACTATAGGTATAGGTATTTAATTTTTTTATTTGAATATTAATATTATATAATACGTTTTTTTCAAAAATTAAATATTAATGAAAATAAGAAGAAAAAAATCGCTGAACAATATTAACAAAAAAAGTCTAAAATGTCATTTTGCTGTGTGGGTGTGGTTCCTGATGTTGGACTAATAACTAAGTATTCCTCATTTATTCATGGAGTGTATTCCTAGACTAAAATGGAACAATAATGTTAAATTTAATTTAATTTAATTTAATTTAAAATAAATAAAGGAATAACTTACCTTCTTTTGTGATGGTGTGGGCATCTCCGTGTCCTTATCCCTACATGCAATTAAAATTATTTAAACTTAAGGTGAAAATATAGATTTTACAATAGTTTTCAGCTTTCCAAGTGCAGAAAATGACAGAATTTTATATATTATTCAGTTCCAAATTTTATGCACATGAAGATCATGTAGATTTCATATTGAAGATGCACTTACGATTGCAGTACAATATGGTGACGATGAGGAGCAGAAGAAAAAGGCCACAGCCACCAGCAAGAGCTCCCAACATTATTGGACTACAATTAAAAGCAGAACTGGACTCCCCTTCTGAAAATGAACCAACCTTGTTTACCAACTTTTTCTACTCACAGAATTTTAAACATGAATATGATAAATGTTATAACACATCATTGTGATTTGGAACACTTGCCTCCTGCTGTCTTGCCTTCACAATCACAGGTTACAATTTTGGGCACACTCGGTTTGGTGGTGCATGTTGGTGGTGCTTCAGTTTTATCTTCAGTTTTATCTAAAAAAAAAAAAAAAGAGAAGAAGTTAAAGTTATGTGTAAACATACTAAAACAATAAACAAAACAATAAATTAAACCAAACAAAGAAACATAACTTACCTGCAGATATTTGTGTTATTTCTCCAAACACCAATGTATTACCTTGGATAAGTGACGCACAGCCATATAGGCCAGCGTCGGTTTTTTTGAAGGACTTCAGTGATAGACGATTATTTGTGTAAGTGTAGAGCTCATCAAAGTTTGTTGCTGATGCCTTTTTTAAGCCAGTTTTGCTGAAAGACCCAATGAATTCCATGTGATTGCTTAGAACTCGAAACCAGACAATCATGCTGGCCCCCGTTGTGTTTTTAGGTGTACAGCTGATATCAATCCTATCCCCTTCCTTTGCTCTTTGGACTTTGAAAGTTCCTGAAGTGAATTCTAAAAGATTTTATAAAACGAGAGAAGAAAAAAAAACATTCTGTTTCTGGGAACAATACACAATAAACAAAAAAAAAAAAGACCCAAATCAGATAACACTTAATAATTAAGTTCAACTTACTCTGATAAGACACCACAATCACCAGAATCAGAAGCCATTTTTGGTCCATTTTAATCTTGCAGACGAGAATAGGAGCTAAACACGTCCTTTTCGTGTTTATTGAAGTGTGCTGGGAGATAATTCAGCGTGATATGAAACCCCGCCCCAGCTGTAACCTTCTTCTCTGCTCTGTCAAATGGGACCATTGCAGCAGAGTCTTGCAGAGACCTCCTGCAACACGATCGTGGTCTGCACAATGTTTGTAACCCACCCAATCTGCACTTCACTCCTCTACCTCTGGTTTGAAGCATTGAACATCACTACTTTATCCACAAACTATTGGCACACAAATGCAGCAGTGCGCAGTATGTAGGCTGAAAATGGATGAGATAGGAAGTGAAAACGATGCACACCAAACATAGTTCACGCAACTCTACACCAATTCTGCACAAATTAAATGGTGCATTATACCAAACTTTTCTTTGTTGAAGTTTCATCATGAACTCCTAACAGTCACTTTGACGTTGCTATGTAGTTTGAATTTGACCTGCCTTTAGTGAATGATTGCTGAAATTTAAACATTCAAAGATTGCAAACATTGCTATATTTTAATCTCTCAGGTTAAACTAGTTTAGAGAAATATAACAGTTTAGTTAAGAGTAAAACAGCAAGCATCAGGGTCTCTCAGAGGCCTTTTCTAAGACTTCACATTAGCTTACATCTTACACCCCAGTTTTTAACATCACCATGTTCTGAAATACGGGCAAAAAGCCTTGAACCTGTAACAAACACAAGATATAACACAAATATAACGTCACTAAATTAATTAAAAAAAATAAAATATACTATTATTATATAAACTAATAATCACTTTAGTGATTTCCCATCTTCTCAAGTTCTGGATAAAGATTGTTGTCCTCTTCAATTTAAAATCACTGTGAATGTTATATTTAAGATTTAAGATTTTACCTTTATACTCGACTAATTTATGACAATTTCCAATATTTTCATTGTTCCAAATTATTTAAAAGTACTGTATTGCACAGGCAAACACCCCTAAAATCCAATGTTAGGCATGCGATTGCGCAGTGTTACAACGCTTCCACAAGACCGATATTTACACCATTAGATGGCAGCAAAATGACTTAGCGCCATGTTGCTATCAGTGCACTGAATCCTTGAACAAAATCACAAAACATACTTCTGAGCATCCCAAAAAGCTGAATCTGTTCATCTGGACGTAGCGTTTAAGTGGGAGAAACGTTTCGTCACCTGACTGACTGCAGGTTTCCCCAACCTTATAAACAGTACCTTTGCACAATGACTGAAACTAGCCCACTGAATGAACAACGGGCTGTGAGGTGTGATGGACCGAGCAGTGAAGGAAACTTAGGCACAGGTTAAAGTCCAAAAAAATTATTTTTTATTTAACCCAAAAAACATAATTGGTTAAATCATGCAAAAAGAATCAAAATCTTGGGCCCATAAAAGAGGTCAAAATAACAGAACTCTACTCAAAGTTGACAGCACTACTGATAACTCAAACAAACTGACCTAACTTAACAAAACAAAGGGGAAACTTAAATAGTGGCTGATCAGCCCACAAAAACAGACAGGAGAAGGGGTAAAACACACAAAACCTAACTAAACCAAACATAATGAACTACAATTCCCCCCCCCCCAGTGGTCCCAAGTTATGGCATGAACCAATTTGCAGTCTTCCTTTAAAGCTCACTCCACCCCTTTTCCACCTCTTGGCTCCTTAATCAAGGGACTGGAACAGCTGCAACTAAGGTAACTCTAACTAAGGAAACAACTAAGGAAAAAAAAAGATTAATCATACATAACAGTGTAAACTAAAATGTGCGCACTTATTTTAGAATGCAGTGTTATGTGGGTATGTGAATGAATTCTAAACCAAAACCAGTTATTTATTGTCCGGTAAATTAATTCCTATATTTAAAGAAAGACAAATGGGAATGCAATGTTACTTATAAGCCTCTACACTAACATGGTGGGTATTACCACTGTGTGGCTGTAAGTGCAGCCATCACATGAGGTCAGGATCTGATCAACTCACAGCCCAGTCCAGATGAACAGAATCAACTTTTTGGGATTCATTTACCTGAATAATTAAGCATCCATTAAGACATACTTCTGAGCAAAGACACAAACTTATGTAAAATAATTTGAAGTATTAGTCAAACCTGAATAATTCATTTTATTACAGTGGTACACCAGCTGAAACAAGTAATGGAAAATATGTTCTGTGACATTGGTCTGAATGGTAAATGGACTGGTTCATAGTGCTTTTCTACTCTTCTTGAGCACTCAGAGTGCTTTATATAACTTGCCTCTTTCATCCATTCACACATATTCATACAAGTACTTCTTCTATTGGATGGAGGGTACCGCGCATGATTTTAATCTTGCGAAAAATGAACAAAGTAACTATTTTTAAAAAAATGTTTTTATTGTTTTGTTATGCTGTGCATGAGCAACAGCGTGAAGTCATTATTAAATATAATGGCTGTCAGGGGGGACTGAAAATTTAAAGGAAATTGCTTGTGAGCTAACAAAAGATACTACAATTTTCATTATGGGAAAAGACAGAAATTTGAATTCATTAAATTTCTAGAATATTCATTTCAAAGAGTGTTCCTACCTGCTTCAGTTTAAATCTTATCAGTTTTATTCACAGTTTATAAAGCTATATTGAGCTAACAGCTCTAGCAAAAGGAAAGAAGAACGTAGCACCATAAAGAGTTACAGCTTGTATCATTTCAAGTGAAATGTCTAAGAGCTGTACGGAAGTGAAACCCCCTTCAGATAAACTGAGTAGAGCAACAGCTGCTATGGCGCAACTCGAAGCCCTTTTTCCGGTTCAGTGCTGGAAAATAAATGCAGCAATTTGGTAATGGGCACTGAGTGCTGACATTTTGCGCTTTTGTGGGTGATCTGTTCCATGGGTGGGAGGAGACAGAAAGAATGAAAAAGTGGGGGGAGTGAGAGTAACAAGAGGACACAGTTTTGTTTTTGTTTTTATCTCATTTAGCGTCTTTCTTTCTGTCTGTCTGTCTTTTTTGTCTTTCTTTCAACTGTTACAATAATTCCTCGAAATTCAGATTGTCATTGACCCTATTTTTGCTTTCAATAAGTCACTTTTATATTTATTACAAATTAAATCAAGTTTCAGTCTTGCATTGTTTTCAGCAAATAGGGGATTCTGTTGATGCATTGTATCAAAGGGAAGACCCAGTCAAAAAGCACACAATTAGCCCACTTCACCTTTCCATGTCTCTGTTTCAGGGTTGAGTCACTCACAAACACACCTGCATGGGCTTCCCTATCTTAGTCACACAGGGGATCTCCAACCTGAAACCTGAGCGTGTGTGTGTGTGATTATGTGGTGGGTGACCAGGGGAAGCCAGTGAAAAAAAGAAGGTACTCAGCACAATAATGCTGAATATCCTTGTGTTCTTAAAATGCCACCTTCATTACCAGTAAACACATCTGAATAGTATTTTTTGTTCACTTTGGCTCAGTTATCATTGCTCTGCTGCTCAACTGGCTGGTCTGGTTTCAAGCATTATAGAAAAAGGAGTAAAGTGGAAACCAAGAGCATCAAGAGGATTGGAGTAAGTAGAAATGGAGCGCTCTAAAAGACTTCAAAGTTAAAGTGATTTGGTCAGAATTTTTTTCATAATTTGTGGATAACGCTTCCTGTTACCAATTTTCATTTTCCTTTACTTTGTTGGCTTTTGCTAAGTAAAATGTGTAAATATTGCAGAGTAAGAAGTTACATCTCCTTGATACTGATATCTCAAAAAGGTCTACACTGTAAAACTGCTTTCAAGAAGTTAATGCGCTTTTTACAAGCAGCACAAATTTGTCCTGAATGGGCTAAATTTACACTCAGGCCATTTTAAAGAGAAAAAAATATAAAATGTTTCTCCATCTGAAGACGTGATATATTTACATATACTGTTTGGGATTTTTGCTAAGGAAGCTGAAATAGTTTATACAAATGTGACAAATTGGAAATAATACGTGTACGTGTCTTCTTACTAAAGAGCTTGGAAGAATTTTGTTTGTTGCACTTTTCAATAGTTTTGAAAATAGTGCACAACACTTTCTGTACATACATGTCTCTACAGACGACATGAAAGGATAAAGCTAATTTTTTCTGTGTATTGACTCTTATTACATGCATGAAACTGTACTTAATATTGATATCTCAAGATGGTCTGTATTAGAAAACTGCAGTTTCAAACGGGTAATATAAGTTTATCCTAAATGGGATTTATTCAAAACTGAGTGTCACAATGTGCATATTACCTATATTTAATTAAATAATATATAAATATGTGGCTTTTATGTATTTTGTATCTGTAGCAAGACGTAACATGAGATAATAGTTATGGATTTCACCACAAACAGTTGAGTATATAGCACTGCCATATCATTAGATTAAAAATCGCACGCTGTTATAGTTTATGGCTGTTTCAATATTTAAGAAGAAAAGTACTGGATTGAATTGCCTTTTTTGGGATGTAAGCACTTGTTTTCCATGATTTATGCTGCCCCCCCCCAAAAAAATTAACATTAAAAAAATTAAATCGTGTGTATTTTCAGATAACCGGAAGAAAATGGATGGATGAATGGACGTTTACAAGACTTCACAAAGACATTGTTATTTTGCAGGTCAAACAAACATTACAAACATTATAATTTGCAAACAAGTTTGTTTTGTTTTTTAAAAAAGTAAATGTAAAAAAAGTTATGTCTGATTTGACTCTACTATTACAGGAAACAAATAAAGGAGACATCAGAAAACTGAAAAATAACAGAAAAATAATGTTTACAGTTCATCATATCTGTGAGCCTTTAGTTTCAACTGTGTCTCAATGTTTAAAATAAATCTATCTAGAAACAGAAAGCTGAAGAAATCCATTCTTTTTAGCATACATCACATAACTTAATGAATTTACTTACATATGATAATAACGTGTAAGGGTTCTATAAGTTTTTAATACATCTGTTAAAATTAAAAGCAAATACAGACAACAAACTCTATAAAGATTACAATATTAAGTTTTCTACCCAATGAGTTGGTGCACCTTTATGATTTGTGTTGCTGTGTCTTAAGATTATCTCATGCTTATATTTTTCCTACCCGAGCGATGCTTTTCTTAAGGTGGCAGTGTACTGTGACCTTGGTCTACTTGGCTTTGACTGTGAAGCAGTAATACTTTTGTATAGTGCTGATACAGGATGTGTTTTTAAAAGTCTTCTCAACCAGTGTTACCTCGGTTTACAAGAATTCAAACGCATTCCTTTTCTTGTATAATTATTTCCATTTATTAAATGTATAACATCCTCGGCCAGCCACATTGGTAATAATAACATACACTGTTATTACTGTGTTTAAATCCATTTGGTCAATGAAATGCCTTCTAAAAACTCTTAAGAAGGTTTTCATGCATTCATTTATTTATTTTACTGCATTAATTTAGAAACGTTTTACTTTGTCTTTCGCCTACTGCTCCTCTTTCTCCGTCAGTGCTTGTGGTTCAGTCTGTGGTACTTTTTGTGGTCTTTTTGTTTCAGGGACTAGACGAATAGCTCAAAGCTGAGCGAAGCGATAGCATCTCAGTGAACATAGTTCGGTATATCCTCATGCTCCAGCACACAGGAAAGAGCTGCGTACATTCCCTGCGACCCAACCAACCACAAACTTAGTTGTGTCTTTGCACTTCTCAATCACCCAGGTGTAACTGGGTTGGTTTGCATATGTGTGTGTGTATCTGTATGCATGCACACAAGGGTGAATAAGGAAGCAAGAGACTTACACTTACTATGAAATGACTTTGTAGCCTGTAATTTAACATTATACAGCAAAGCTTGTTGCCACATACATGGCAGTTCAAGAGAAACTGAATATGATGCAAGTTTACACATCAAAAGTAAAAGAAGACACCAAACCCTGTCACTCACCTACTCAACTTCCGCTAAGCACAATATTGACAATGGAAGTACAACGCCCACTTTCAAACCTCTATGCCCTATCCACAAACAGGCACAGACATCTAAGATGTACAACGCAACAAAGCCAGAACGTCTTATCTGTTTCTATCACTGGAAAACATGCACAGTGCTTGACCTGTAGCTTCAGGACAGGAAGCATTTCTGCTATTGCAAAATACCTCCTGAGTATCATTACTTTCTAGGCAATACTGCATTTTGGATAATTAGATCACTCATAACCACCATAAATGACTGAAATGATACCGTTTTATTGATTAAACACAAGCATGCTCACAGAAATACCGACATAACAGTGCTTTTTGTTCTGTGTCTAAACTGCTGCAATAACGTGAAAAACACAAAGAAGTACAGAAGAAAGCAAAAAACGCAGAAAACTGCACAATTACTGTATGTCTATTTGTGTACTTTGTGATGTTTCCATCAAAATCAAAAATGATTACAGTTCACAGCACATTAATACCTGATGAATTGAAAAACACATTGATAAATTACACTAAATGCAGCTCACTGATTAGAGACAGAAAGAAAGATTATAGATACAAAACACAACATGGGGCTTTAAACTTTATGTTACATTATGCATTATTACATGCGTTATGTTACAAGGCTGCTGCTGCTGTTGAAAAAGCAAATGTGTTTTCTTTCTGAGAGTTCATTGAAGCGTAAATAAACTCGAGATGTTGTTAGAAGACCCGATATTAAGGGTGAATCATGCCTTTCGTGGCCGGACAGAACACTCAAACAAAGCACTTCAGTCACTGCAATCAAAGAAGCAATATTTGTTAATTTTCATTAGTTTCAATAACCATAGACAACATTTAACATATGTAATACTTACCTTAAAAATACATGAGACGCAGGGTTTTTTTTAGAACGTCTGCCTTTTCCTTAATAGAGAAAACAGAAGACGGAGATTAAAGCATCGTCCGTGCATATGGTGGCAGAATCAGAGTTTAAAAATACTGCAAAGAATTTTGATTTTTCTTGTGCATATGGACGAAAAATAAAATGAAAGACAAAAACAGTTGTTTCTACTAATGTTGTATTTACTTTGCAAAGTGGTGGTGACACTTTCTTGGCAGACCTGTAAGTGAGAATATTGTTGAAGAAAAAAGGAAACATTTTAGAAATAAAACATTACTATATCACAAAATTTGATTTTTCTCAACCTTTATTAGCACAATTTTATGCATTTCTGGTCATGTCTTTCTGGAACCTTTGTCCGGCTGTTTTGTTGACTTCACGGTATTTAATGTATTAAACGCTACTCACGGCTGAAATAACGCAGCGTGCAGAGAACAGCCAGAGCCAAGCCTCCAAGAAGTCCGACAAGAGGCCAAAGAATCATAGAGCCACAGCCTCCTGGAACAAAGGAATAATGGAGTACATGTTTCTCCCCCCCCAATGGAGTCATGATATAATCAATCATTAATCAATTTTCATTTTGCAGGAAAATGTTCAATTATGCACTGCTGCAAACAACTTAAAGTCCTTTTTATTCTTTTTATTCTATAATAACTTACCCTTGGAGTTGCCTGTATTGCAACGACAGGTTGGTTTGGATGGTGGTTTGGGTTTTGGCTTAGGAGGTGGTGTTGGTGGGGTCTCTGTCAAATAAAGACCAAAGAAAGGTAAATGGACAGGTTCTTGTAGAGCGCTTTTCTGCTCTAGTTCTGCTGTAGTTAAGCATTCAGCTTTTTATACAACATATCTCTGTCACATACAGGCACTTTTTTCTTTAAGTGTTTTTCTAACCAACATTTACACTCTTGACGAACACATCAGGAGCAACTCAAGGTTCGAGTATCCTTCTTAACATGTAGACGGGTTAAGCCAGGGATCGAATCACCAGCCTTCCAATTAGGAGATGATGATGGCCTGATCGCCTGAGCCAAAGCCACCCAGAAGCACCATTAAGAAAAGTAAAAAATAACTTTTTTCAAAAAAAAAAAAAAAAAAAAGTTGTTGTTGCAGCAATTCTCTAACAAGTTTCTAAATGGCAAAGAGAAGACACAATTGACATGATTATTAACAGAATCGCCCTCCATCTGTACGTCTGTTGAGCCAGCGAACAGTTTTTCAGCTTTTTTTTTTCCTTATTTGTAGTTAGAATTTACCCATTTGGCCTATTGAATGTGTACCAATATCTTCTGTTTGCCCATGCTGTGAGAAAGTTTTACTGCTTAAGCCTCGTTCAGAAAGATAAGTAAGGCAGCATCAGCTAGGCAAAGAGAAGCAGAAAGCCAAGATACAAAAGAACTTCTCAACGTTTACTTGTGTCAAAGACACCAGTTTGGTTTCCAAAATGCAAATATGCATTGATTTGCAAATGACTTAAACCTTACGTCATACAAAATGTGGAAACAGATTTTTTTATGATTTGAAAAATATACACTCATTTTGATTGTGATGCCATAAACACCTTTAAAAAAGGTTTTCTTTCTCTGGTGCAGCTTTAAGCGAAAAACAGTGTTCACTCACTGTCAGAAGTGTTTCTGGAGTCCGTGCAGTGATTTCCATGAAACATCCACTTTTAACGCAATAACTCCAGAGGGCATGAAGATCACGGGCATTCCATACCCCTTTCACGCCTGTACAAAGATTTCTGTGCATTCCCTGAATCTTTTGATATTAAGTTCTCTAGATGATAAAATCGACAAATTTGAATTTTCCTCAGATACTTAGAAATTCTACCTTGACTACACATGTAGTCACACACGCTTTCAGAGAGTTGTAAAAGCTCCATCTTTTACACCTTATGGACTTTGGAATGCTTTTTCATACCCAATTTTATTAAAAAAACAAACAAAAACAAAACATGATTACTTGTGGCATGCTCCCCCAGGTATCTTTAAACATTCTATAGCTGCTTCTCCTGGAAAAACGATCATATATATTTAAAAAAACAACAACAAAAAATCTAAATGAAGGTCTGTCAAAAAGTGATATTCTTTCTTTGTAAATAAGTAGCAAATCACTGCATACTGTTTTAGTTCACATTTTTGCAGTGCACCTTCACCGTTTTAAAAATGGTGTTGTATTCGACTGATACAGCAAGGTAAGTGCGCCACACTTTTAAAGCTGTCCAGTGAGTCCGCAGAATATTAGACATTTTTTTGTATTCAAGTAGGAGTCCTAATATGTTCGATTTACACACCAAAACCTTAAATCATCCATCAGCTTGACCTGCCTCTTCAAAATCAGATGGATATTTTGAAAATTTCACATTTAGCCTGATATTTAACTGTGACAGGAAGCACTTAGAATACAAACCTCCTGGCAGTAGAAGAGTCCCAGGCTTCCACATTTCATTAAGACTTTTGTCCTTCAAGACACAAGAATAAATCCCTCTGTCTTCTTTCGTCACATTGATGATACGGAGCGCAAAAGACTTACTGCCCCTCTTACTGAGTTTAAAACGTGTTTTGTCCACGTTATCTCCATAGAGAGTACGGTCAGCATTGTTGCATCTGCCTAGAAAGTGGACTTTGCTACTGATGTCACTGCGGAACCAGAAGACTAAGTCACAAGCCATGTTGCCACAATCACAATCAATGGTCTCACTGCTTGGGATCTTAGGGTAACGAACGCTGACTTCTTCTTCCAGCAGCTTCTGTTTTAAATCTTGACCTAGGAAAAAGAGCGACATTTAAGATTTCAGCAACACATTTGTAGCACATTCAAAAACTCCTCCGAAATTATTTTTGAGTTACTATATAACAAGCTGCCTCGCCCATTTGCTCGTTGCAAAGGTTTATGGACAAACCTCCCGTAAAGATGTGCAGTTAATTAAGGAAAAGGAATACTAATACTTGTAATAATAAATGCAAGTTGTCACGCTTCCTACATAGCGAAAGCCTGTATAAATCCAACTGGCAATATAAAATATGAAAATATGAAGAAATCTCCTGTATATATTTCAAACTCTTAACAGTGACATTTTGGATTTGCTGTATGGTGGATTTAGCATTTAGGTGATATTTTACAAGAGGCCTATGTGGTAAAACATCTTTTCGCATTTTACAATCATTTTCTACTTTCTATGTTTTCAAGTCAAATGCACAGGCCTGTGTTATGAAATAGTGTTATGAAATATATAAACATACACAGCAAGTCAAACACTGTGTTTGTATGAAAGGTTAAGACTTACTGGCTCTTGCTTCATGCTGTTCTTGCAAAAATAAATGAAATACAAGTGCTGTGTTACATTCAAGACTAATTTAGTTTACATGTGTCACAATACGACACAAATCTGATTTATTTCAATCTCCCCAGTAGAGTGATGCAAATATAAAAAAAAGACAATGATGATGACAAACTACAGGGGAATGCTGCAATGTTACCTTTAAAGTATAGAAGCAAAACTCAAAGGCTGATAATTAGCGTAATAACATAGCCGTATCAATAATCTATACTTTCATATATATCATGTCTAAGTGTTAAACCAACAAACCAAAGCTCACTTCTTTGACTCTTAAAGCCACATTTCATTCTTTATCACATGCTATGGCAATGACTGTATTTAATAAATGTACATTTTAAGATAAAAATCAGACGATTATCAGTTGAACTTGAAAACAACAACATCCCTCGGTAAGCTACCTGACTTTGCAACAGCAAGAACGTTTGTGTCTTATGAGATTAAAGACAAAGCTGATGGTCTTACCAGATGTCCAAAGTGGTCCTGTCAACAATAGCCATGCCAGTGACAGAAAGAACATTTTGTCAGGCCCTCGCTGTGTATCCGTATCTGTGTGTAACTTGTGTGCTAGCTGAGGGAGGTTGCTAATACTTTCTCGTCTTGATATCTATCTGTCATAGATGATGGGAGGAACTATGCTGACAGGGCCCTGAGGCTTGAATGCAACACCCTAAAATGATACAGAGGGCCTATCAGATACGGTATAACAGCATTACACCAGTCACTGGGACTTTAACGTACACGCTCTAAAACCCCACATGCCTAATACAGATAAGGATCAGCACAAGTGCTGCATCAAAATAAACCTATTGATGCCATTCTTTATTCTGTTCAACTAACAGAGCCCAACGATAACAGCTGTTACTATTATATTAAGTCTGTTATTAAAAAAAAAGAAAAAAAGAAAACGTATTCATCCCCAACATACATAGAGGCGTAAAGTGAATGTTTCACAGCTGAAAATGTGGTGTTGTCTCACATTATGTCCCACATAAACAAAAGCAATTAAAAAATGTTGCATATTTCCAGAGCAGCAGTTTGCAGTGCTGTGGTCTCTGCCCAGGTGCATGACCTAGAGTTCAGCAGAGCCACACATACAGAGCTTCATGCACAGAACAAAAAGGGAAATATAAACATATGGCACCTAAACTCTGTAACGAAATAATTGCATACGAGGATTAACGATACAAAATACATTTAAATATTCAATGGAGTGTGTAAGGCAACTTCAGTATCCCACCTGTCATAAAGTTCTTAAAGACTCGCATGAAACAAACATTAAAGTCAAAACCAGTGAAGTTTGTGCCTGTGCAAGCAATTTTGCATTACTTTTTTCTTCTTTGAAAAGTGCACATATAGTTTTATATTATAATCAGTTCTTAAGTAAATATATCTCATATTATCTGACTTTTTTGATATTCACATTTTTACTATCCAACCCCTTACATACAAGCATTTAACAGTTACAGACCCCTGGCTGTGTAAAAACAGCAGACTATGTTCATTATGTCCCACTGCACCAGCATCATTGTTAAGGGGACTCATTATTAAGTTTAATCAGGCAGTTACAGGCACATTGCTTGAAACAGATAAATAAGCCAGTTAGAGCTGCAACCATCAGTTATTTTCATGATTGCTTAAAAAAACAACAACCACTGATTGATTTTATATTTAAAATTACAGAAAATCATTACAGATATAGTATTTAAACTTTATATATGTACACATACATCACACACAGGACATCTATGCATTTCCAAATGTGGAGCCATTGTATGTTTGGCTTTTCACAATGAATTGTTTTATTTTTTGCATTTTGTGACAAGATACATCAACATCTACTCAATAAACTCAAATCTATGCCTCACGTTGAAGACTATGAGTTTCACTGACATTCAGAGATAAACCTGATTTGAAGCAATTGTACCTACATCAAGACAGTATCTCTGAAATGTTTGATGTGTAATTTTTAAAGTTGCCATTCTGACAAAGAGAGGACTTTTGAAATCTCTTTTCCACAGACGTCCTTTTCACACTTGCTCGATAACAGTGATGATCCTTTAAATCATGTGGTGTTTGTGGATCTTTTGTGCGTTCGTAAAGGGTAAGGGTACAGAACGGTCTGGTGGGGGTCTTAAAGTGAGAGGATGTGGGAACCCTAAAGTTCTACGGGGGTTGTACACTAAAGCGAGGAACAAGATTCTTTGAAAACAGATCTCAGGGGACTTCAGATGTGCGCTCTTCACACATCGCTGAGTTATAAAGCCTTTGTTGGTCTCTCCACTTCAATGCTTTACGTCAAATGCTGCCAAGCTCTGGTTTTACTTGCCTGCTCTGCTATTTCTTTCTTTATTTTTTACTTTAGTATTCTTTGAGAAGTCATCCATAAAAATTACAGAGATGTAGCAGTGTCATTCTCATTACCAGAGCTTTAAAGATAATTAATGTCAAGACCATAGTTCAGAAGATTATTTACAGCATCTGTAGGACTTCTGCACTAAACCATTTCAACTTTTGTGTCACTTCTATGATCCATATTTTTTCTTTGCGCCAACAATCCAATCAACATCCAACTTAATAACTGAAATTTAAAACACATTGGGAAGTTATTTCATGCATGTTGATTTAAAAGTTTTTCTTTATAAACCTTTCAGATAAATTCACACTCACTCGTTTGACCACTACCAACTACTTTCATATCTAGGCTCATACATATAGCTCTCAATGAACATTTAACAATACAGCCCACAAGCAATCGAAAAGATAAAAACACAAAGTTGTTTTTCTTGAGTAGATGTGATGTACCAAGAGCATCAGAGGAACAGTGGCTCGGCCAATCAAAGTATTTTGATAACTCATTTCAGATACCTTAAGATTTACTTAAAAGAACATTTTGTGTAGATACATGTAAATAAAAATGACAGTAGGGATTAGGAGTGTAAGTGGCCCACTTTATAGCTCATAGTTTAACAGTAGGTGATACTGTTTCCCTTTGGAGTTTCCTTTAACTACTAACTTTGTTCAGTTTGCACATTGCTCTTCAACCTGAATTCTGAGGTTATGTAAAGATGTCCTCATTTGAACGCCTGCACCTGTATGACCGCAAATGTGTTTTCTGGTTGTATAAATACAATCATAAAACATAGACATGCACACAGTGCACTGCAGACTGATGAAGTGTTAAATCTGCTGTGGTGCAACGCATATGCCAGGCAGTATTTGTTGTATTTTTATCATTTCATAATACGTCTTACACTGAACTTCTGTACAGCACGTTGTCAGTGGCTTTATTTCAACCTTTGTGCCTGAGAGTGAGAACACACAGAGAGCTTCTGAAGTAATGAAATGAATAAGCTTCTGACATCTATGAGCTTTTATTTTCAGTACTGATGAAATGGATGAAGCTCAACAGTGCCAACCAGAGACTGCTAAAGGGATGACAATCTACCAAGTCCATACCAGATGCACGCATCCATAATCAAATTTACCTTAGTGATGAGTTAAGAGTACTTCATAAACAAACAGTGCTAAACATTACAGCCATCAACTCACTGTACACACAAACCAAACTTATTATAAAGTGTCATAGTATAAAATTAATGCTGAATCTCCTCCAGATACAAACGAAATACATTCATTTCTTATACACATACAAATTGACTCTACATGGCTAGCCAGCTAGCAAACGTGTATAAGAAAACACTTTTCGGTTATTAGAGCAGATATAGAAAAGGCCTTTGCTACCTGCTGACAGGATTTTTTTTAAATCATTTTAATATAGCTTATTATTAATTTCAATGTCATGCTTACAATAAATGTTTGCCAAAAGTAGTCCAGAATACCGTTCACTTCAGCTGCTCCTGCAGAGTTTAACACCCCAGAATCGAGTCGTCCCACAGCTTTTCCTCCTCTGTCCTAGTGTCTGCTTTCTCCTTTGCCTTCTTCTTCTCTTTTCTGTATTTAGGTTTAATGGACTCATCCTCTTCACCCCCCCTTTGCTTAACATTAATTTCAGTCTGAATATGCAGTTCAGTCTCTTTGCTATTCTTCATCATGACTTCTGGCTTTAATTTGTCCATAACTTGATCTCCTCTTTCCACTTTAAAGTTTTCCTTAAGGGATTTTTTTTCTTTTCGTCTCCACTTGCCATGAATTTTTGACTTTTTCCTGCTCCTCTCCTCCTCCGACTCAACAGATTGCTCTCTTCTTCTCTCCTCTGAGTCATCATCTCTTTCCCTCCTCCGGCGTTTCCTCCTCCTCTCCTCATCCCTTCCTCTCCTCACTCTCTCCCTATGGGATGTTTTAATCTGCCTCTTTTCTCTGTGCCTATATTCACTATGATCACTGTCACTTTCACTACTGCTGGAGGAGGAATACGAGGAGGAGGAGGAGTAAGATAATGAGGTAGTACAGGAGGAAGAGCTTGACCTTCTCTGCCTTCTTCTCATGGGCCAACTAGTGAGCGGTGGAGGACCTGAGTTACGAACAACTGGAGGAGGATAGTTGTAGTTTGAGGCACGTGACGGCAAGGGTGGGCCCTGAAACGATGAACACCCCATTTGAAGTGGAGAGTAATGACCAGAGTGGGACTGATGAGGAGAAATGGAGGTAGGAAGGAGGTTGGACACAGGTTTATTTAGTTCCACCATACTCTTCCTATTTAATACTTCCCGTTCTTCATCTTCATCTTCCTTTTGCATGGTATCCTGAGGGAGGACCTGATTAGTCTTAGGAGTGATTCCACGAGCCTTCTGAACCTGAATGTAATCAGCCAGTTCATCTGCAAATGTGCTGTACAGTTTTTGCTGGGATTTGCATAGATCGATGACTTTCTTCTCCCTGAGCAAGAACATATAAACTTGAATTAGGCTGCTATTTAATCAGATAAATGGTGATGAAAAACCTACAAATTATAGCCTTAGTAAACCACAGAGGCATTCTGAGGTTCCTGCTTGAAAATGACATGCCCAAAATGAATTCATTATTTCTCTACAATCACAAACTCCCTGTAAACCAACTTGGTATCAAAATTAAGCTAACACTTGATTTGTGCCAGGTTGCTACAGGTTGCGACTCCTTTGTATATTTATAACAGTATTATTTTCATATTATTTAGTGTCATCACAAATAATTACTTCTTGCCAAAGGTAAGCTGAAGTGCAATGTAGTAAATATTACACTTTAAGAAAACAGTGACACAGTGAAAGTTGACATTGTCTTCTTAAACTTACTTTATCTGGTGTTTGTTTCCCTGCATGTGGTCCTGGTACATCTCCACAGAGTTAAATTGCATACTACACATCTGACACATCAAGGAACTGCCTGGAGAAAAAGATTAGAAAGAAGAGAGATATTTTTAAAAAACCAACAACTTTCAACAGGCCAATAAAGATTTAGTAAAGTAATTTTTCTACTGTTTTACAAATTCTGGTTTTCTCTAAATCATTCATGCCATCTCCACAAAGAGATGCTGTAGCGCCTAAAGCTGAAAATAAAAAACAGGAAACTGCTTCATTAAACTCTCTGACATTCTAGCTCACCTGATTCAATGCCCTCAAGTCAGACTTATCAGATTAAAGTCAGATTATTGTTATAATAATAAATAATAACAAAACCACAGAATTATAGGTAATCAGACTATCTGAATCACATCCATACTTACTGTAATAATCCTACAAAGCCAACGTCTATTTGATTATCTCCTATTCACCCACCTGTGCTGGGATGAAATCTTCACTGCTGATGTAGATGTTTCAACTAGATTTTTCACTTTTCCCTTCAGAACTTCCTGTTTCTTTTTCCCTTTCTTGTTAATGTTTCTGTCCTGGTTTCAGGCTGCTGTGGTGATTTTTATTAAATTCCTGAAGGATTTAACGCTCTTTGTATTATCCTGTTTGCTCAAAGCCAAAAAGTTACCTTGTTCTACATTGTGTCCTAGCTGTTTGAGCAGCTCCTGTCTGGCCTGATTCCTCTGGTGTTTGCGTCCACTGTAGTGCTGCAAGGCTACATGGGGATTGGTGAAGGAGGCAGTACACAGGGCACAGTACTTGTTGGGATCCTTCAAATCAACCTCTGTGCTACATGTAGCACTGGTGACTGCTGGATCCAAATCATGCTCCACAACACCCTCTGAGGATGGTTTTTGCTGAGACTTATCAGGATCCTGTTGGAGACCTGATGAAGCATGCACTTCTGTAGACTTCTCTATAAATGCAATGACACATGGTCAACTTCAACAGAACTGACAGTGAAATCATAATGTCAACATATCTTCCTCACTGTGTGTAAATATCAAAATCTACATCAAGAAAATGCTTTTTGCATCACGGAGCTCAAACTTGCCTGATAGGTGAAGACTTTGTTTACGAAGATTTTTTGTATGGACTTTGCCTTCATAGTGTGATCTTGCCACCACAGATGAGCTAAAAACCATGTTGCAAAGCTCACAGAAATGATCTTTATCATTACTCATCGTCTGCTGCAAAAAACAAACAAAAACGATTAACTACTTATTTTATGAATACAAGATTGCTTTCATATACCCCTCATATTCTTTTGAGAGGGATATTATTAAAGCACTTATACTGTAGCTCTGATATTCTTCACTATTGGATGCTTACATTAGTTTGTCCTCACTCAGTTGTCATGATCACAGACAAGAGACTCCATCGGACAGAAAAAGAAAACTTGGCCACTAACCTGGGCGCCTGTTGACTTTTCTGCTTTTTTGGTCTGCAGGTACAGCTTGAGTTTCTGAGCGTGTTTCTTTCCCTGCAGTTGGACAACATGTGAGACATTATTAGAAAATATTTTACTTATGGCAGGTCTAATTAAAGTTGTACTACGGTGCTATGATTTGTGCCTGGAGGATAAAACACACCTCATAGTGAGACAGCCGCTGTGACTTAAACAGCAGCACAGCCTCACACACATGGCAGTAACTGTCTGTAAGGAGACACTTCAGTAGCGCCTCTTCAGCTTTGTTTCCTGTGTGGCAGAATACATGAAAACTTATTTAAACATGAAGCACAAAAGAAACGCTATTAAATTATTAAATTCACATAAGAGAAAAGTTTGTCCAATACAACTTCCATTTTCTCAGTACCCAGAAAAAAAGGCTGAATCTTTAAGAACATTTAACTTTCACACAACCTTTATTACATCACATATTAACCTATCTGATGGTCCTTTTTCAAAACAAACTAATTTGTTTTGCAATTTGTTAATTTATACAATATGCTTTGCCTTAGTGTGGCAAATCTCATTCAACATTTACAATGATTTTAATATGACCTGCTAATTCTACAAACTGGGGAGTTGTGAATTTAACCGCTTAAATACATATTTCTATTAAAACGTTCCCCTTATGGAAAAGTTTATTTATCATTTATGAGGAAAAAGTAAGATATACTTTTATTTTTTTTAATCTTCTAAAACTATTTCCGCTCAACACACACTTCCTAAAGTAGCATGCAACACACATGTTGACACATACTGCATATTATATTGCTAGCCCATAACAAATTGTGACTTGATCTCTTCCATTCTGCAGATTCTGGGTGAGATACAATAGCCGATTCACTGGTGGTGCATTCAGTGCCAATTAACTAAAAGTAGATGTGAAAGAAAAGAAAAAAAAATATGTGACAACTTAAATGCCCACATATAAAAAAAAAGTTAAACTAATTCCTAAATAAATAAAAAATAGATGACAAATTAACCTTTTGTTGCAATACCTGTTTAGTGATTTACTTTTAAAAAGTACAGTTTAGTGATGACACTCACGCAGGTGGATTAAATATTATGTTTTACAAGCAAAGAAATAACTTGTTATCTGCTCAGATATTTTAATAAAGTGTGGCCCAGAAACAACATTAAACCACACTGAATGAGCATGATGTTTCTGAACCTAACTGTTCAGCCAAAGTCTTGTATTGCTCATATTTTCAAAACTTTGAAGGACATTTTGCAACACAGAAATATGAAATTTATTAAAGTGAAATCAACAAGTACAGTGCCGATACCAGTAAATAACAATGTTTAGGCAAGATTATTGATGTTGTAGGCTGTACTGAACTAATCATATGACATGATGACTGGTGGAGACTAAATTTCTGTTAGAAGAACTAAAATTGTTAACTACTTTACTTCAGTAGTTTTTTTT